GTGTAGGGCAGATTGAACTTGTGACTCACGGGCACCCTAAAGGCTCAAACAGCAGAAAGCAAATAATAATAATAATCATCATCATCATCATCATCATCCCCCAAAAAGTGACATACAAATAATGAGAGAAAAGCAGAGTGGGGAGTGATGGCAGTGATTCTCCGCTGGGGTGTCATGAGACCCTTGTGTGCGCGGCGGGGTGCCGTGCAGTATTAGCACTGTTTGGCATGCAAACGCCTGTGCAGTTCACAAGATTAAACCCAGTGATTCCAGGTAGGAAGCTGTACGGTCCCCAATGTTATGACCTGTGAGGGTCTTTCTAATTTCCTTGCAACAGAAGAATTGCTTTATAGTTTTTTTTCCATAATAAAAAAAAATGATAGAAATATAATTTTTGAAATCAGGGTGACACTAACTAGAGAGAAATTTTGGAGGGGTGACTTGAGTCGGAAAAGGTTGAGAACCGCTGGTACAGAGGCAGGACTCGGAGGCTGAGCCTTGCTTTGGATGTGTCCAAGGGGACGTGTTCAGCACGGACGCACGGTCAGCATGCTAGCTGGATGGGCTGCTACGTTCAGGTGGACTCCGAGGTCCGTGAACGCTTTGGGTTGGCAGTACTGTAATTATGGAGCGAGGTGTGCCCTCGGGCATACAGCTCCCTCCGATGTGCCCACCTGTGCACTCCAGGGAAGAGTTCAGCACCATGAGCCATTGGAGTGGGGGCAGGCAATGATCCTTGCCTGGCAGGATGCAGGCACTGCTGGCTCGTGCACATTCACGCCGTGCCGTGCCGTGCCGTGCCGTGCCCGCCCGTGTGTGTAAATGCCCCCGGGGGAAGTTTGGGCACTGGCAAGAAGCATTCAGATGTCTGATCCTCCAGGCCGCACACAGTTTGAATAAACGCTGACTTGACGTCAATTTGTTCAAGTGTGAGCAAAATTGTTTTTGCTACTTGTGTGGCAGCGGTGGGGTGAGCGTGTTGTGTGATATGAACTGGACGTGTTGTGTCCCGCTGAAGGAGACACGGGCAGATGAAATGTGAGGTGGCGTCTGACCGACTCCAGGGAACCTGGAAGGGAAACGGGAACCCCTCGCGGTTCGCCCCGGCTCGGGTCTCCTCAGGAAAATGGAAACCCGCCCAGACATGGCACAGGCTCCTTCCCTCCGAAGGGATGAGGGAGGGACGAGGGGACGGACGTCTCCCGCGAGGCCCTTACGGAAACCACGTGGTTTGAGGGGGGCTGCCCTCACCGAGCAAAGCACACACAGAAATACAACACAACGCCGTGACAGGTTGGCAGCGCTCTCCCTCGGCCTGAAGAAGGGACTTGGTGCCCGAAAGCGTGCGGAGGACAGTGTGTCCAACTGTTCCGTTGGTCTAACAAAAATATCACGTTTACCCAAAGACCCTGTCTGCGTAGAGGCAAAACCCAAGATTTTGTAGGATGTTCCTTTTTATTTTAAACGAGTGTTGTGAGCAAAGGTGCGCTGTGCGACTTGAGCCATTGTGATTATCGTTTCATGTCACTTCTTATTTTACCTTAGCATGATTATTTATATATTTATTTTACTTTAGCTTTTCATTATATATTTACTTTAGCTTTATTTTATGAAGTTCATTTTACTTTTTTAGTTAATATAGTTAGTTTTACTTGATCATACTTCTTAGTTTATATATTTTTATTTTACTTTACCTTATTTTATATATTTTTACTTTACTTTAGCTTTTTATTGACTAGTTATATTTTGTGTTACTTTAGCTTTTTGTTAATATATTTTACTTCATCTTATTTCTGTTTATATATTTTTATTTTACTTTAGCTTTTTATCTATTTTTACTTCAGCTTTTTATTTACTAGCTATATTTTGTTACTTTAGCCTTTTGTTAATATATTTAATTTTACTTCATCTTTTCTCAGTTTATATATTTCATTTTAGCTTTCTTACATTTTTATTTTACTTTAGCTTTTTATTTTTTAGTGTATTTTATTTTGCCTTTTTATATTTTTTACTTTTTTTTATTTTTTACTTTGCCTTTTTATTTTATACACTTATTTTACTTCAGCTTTTTATTTGTATTTTTATTTTACTGTAGCTTTTTATTTTATACACTTTTTCTTTTACCTCAGCTTATTTATATTTTTATCTTACTGTAGCTTATTGCTTTATTTTATACATTTTTTTTACTGTAGCGTTTTATTTGACTTTAGCCTTTTATTTTAGCTTTTATTTGGTGGTGTATATATTTTTATTTTCCTTCACCTTTTTGTTTATTTTATATAGTGCCCCATATATATTTTACTTCAGCTCTTTCTGAGCTTCTCTGTGTGTGTGACTGTAGCTCTTTTATTGTCTTTATCGTTATTTGGCTGCAGTCGCCTGTTCGTGTTCAGGCTGACGGGCTTCTTTCCTCTCGCCCCTTGCGCGTGCGTGTGTGTGTGTGTGTTTGTGTGCGCGCGCGCGGGCCGAGCACTTTCCCGCCATTTCTGGAGCCGCGCCGACCGTTGGTGCCCGACCGTCGCGGGCAACTCGCGCCCGGGTGGGGGAGGGGAGTGAGCCCCCCCTCGCAATGAATGATCAGTGCGCAGGCGTGAGATGGGGGGGGGCACTGGTGTCCCGGCTACGCCCCGCTCCCTTGGCACCGGGGTGGGGCCCGCGGGCTGGAGGAGGCCCCGCCCCCAAGCGCAGGCGGGGTCTGGGGGGGGGTGTGCAGCCGGGTGGGTGCTGAGCCGGGTGGGTGCTGATTGGTTCCCGATCCCTATTGAGGGGCGCGGTGCTCTAGGAGGGGGTCCCGCCTCGGGGGCAGCGCCTGCACTCACCCGACCGGGGGGCACCTGCAGGAGGAAGGCAGGCCACCACCGCCGCGGGCTCTGCTGGGCCGGGAGGGCGGCTGGTTTACAACACGAGCAAGAACTAGCATCTGGGGGGGGGTCAATGGTTCTCTTTTCTCTTCCTCTTTCATTTGCAAAACTGAAACTAAGTATCAGCCAGACAGGTCCTTCTCCCGCCAGGAGCAAATGCAGCTGTGTCATGGGTGCAGCTTCCTAACAGCACCACCTGCGGCTGCTTGGGGCGGGGGGGAGAAGTTGACTAGGATAATCATTAGATATAATATTATAATAATATTGAGATATAATCATTAGGTATAATATTTAGATATAATCATCGTTAGAGCTACTGAAAGTGTCCTCTACCTCTGCTGAGATGACTGATGATTTAGACCCCTCTTTCCCTATTGCTCATTGACTGTTCGGTCTGCCTCCATCGGAGCTTAGTGTCCAACTATGTATAAGTATATACAAGTAGTGTAAATGATTTGTTTTTGAGCTTTGCGACGCGGTCCAGGAGTATTTGGGGGGAGCTCCATTTGTGTTAGGTGTTTTTCTTTCTAAAGCCGACTGGCAGGAGATGGGTGGGAGGACCGGGGAGCGGTGCTGGTGGTTTGCACCTAGTAAATAACCAGCTGAGCAATGTGCATGCTTGCAGGATCCATCTTCAGGACTTGATGAAGACTCCTTAGCAGTTGCGTTCAATAAAAGGATTGAGCATGGTAATATAAATTAACTTTTTTAAACCGTAGCAGATTTCATGTGTTTAGTGTATGCAATGAATAGTCGAGGCTGAAGAATACAAAATGACCCATCTACTGTCCATATAACTTGTCTGTGTGGGTGCTGCCAGATTTTTTTCACCTGATTTGCCATCCCTCTGTGCCAGCAGTAGAGGATTGGTACATGGGTCATAAAAAAAAAAAACGATTTAAATAAATCTTCATTAAAGTTTTTGCAAGAGTAGGGATATCTCAGGTTTTCCGAAAAGTGCCCGGGGCAATGGGCATGGTATAAGACCATGCATGTCGTAAGCATTGAGGCAGATGTAGGGTGCAGGGGAACTACAACCTGTGCAATGCTGCGTAAAAAGACGCTTGGTAAGGTTATAAAACTGATTTTCAGCCCGGGTGTCCTGGCATTGTCAATACTATTAAGTGTGCAAGATAAATCCAGGGATTTCAAATAGGCATCTGTATTGTCAAAGGCATTCTGGCTTTCTGAGGTCCCTGCAACAGGAGAATCGGTCTTTTTTTTCCCCTGTCATCTAAAATAGAGCTGAAACTAAGAGCTGGCTTTTTCCAAGGTGTGTCTCGAGGCGAAAAGGGTTGAGACCCGCTGTTCTCTGCGATTCCCAGTTGGACACCCTGGGGATGGTTTGCAGCGTGCCAGCCAGATATACAGACTTTCAGCTTCATGTTGCTACAGTTAATGACCTAAGCGGAAATAGGGAGCCAGCACTCATCAGAAATCATGAAAGTGTTTGCTGTTGACTGAAGCAAAAAATTGAAGATGAGGACAATCCATTGCAATAAGAGAAAGCAGTGGCAGTCAGAGAGTTGTGAAGCAACGCCTCTTGAATCGCTTGGTAGCTCTACAAGTTGCACTTAGGTGGAGTAGCTTTCATCTTGCAGGATCGCAACATGCTTTGTCCGGTTTAAAAACACAGGCCAGATTCCAGCAGGAAAGTAATTGCACTTGTAAAGTTTGCCCCTGCTTTCATTTTCAGGGCACAAATCATGGAGGCTTGCTGAAAACCTGACTTTCTGCCTAAATCTGCAGTGTAAACTACACCTTGCATCATGATGATGACTATTAAAAAAGAAGTCAACTATCCAGTTACTAACTGTATAAAAGTTTGTCCTTGCACTATCAGCTAGATGACTGATTTTGGGCAGTTTGCTCTCCAGATGACTGGAAGTATTGTTTGCTAAGTCTTAATCTGCTATGGCTTGTACTCTGTACTTTCTCGTCAGGCCTTTCCATTTTAATTTTCTGACGATGCGGCAGCTCTGCTCCATTTCATTTTAATCACTTTGTCTCGTTTCTTCAAGTGCCCCTTTGGGCCGATTCAGTGGGCTCTGCTGTGTCCTGACTGTATCCTTGCATTTCAAGACACAAACTCGTCTTTCTCCGCTGAGGTGTGCTGAGCCAGTGCAGGCACTCTTCAAAATTTATGCTGTGAAAAAACGTACATGCCCTTCCACTTCATAATTTGCATAAAACTGGAAAAATTATGCATGACATTTCTGACAGTCTCAGACACGCAGGTGTTTCTTATGCATCCACTGGTGCATTTTTTGTGAGGAATACGGTGATTTGTCACTTAGTGTGTCAAATAAGCTGTAAAAGTGTCACTACATGGGCAGTTGTACCAGGTTACATGCATCTTGGATGAGCTTTCAATCACTCATGAAGTGTAGAGATCCTGTATTTTTTCTTTTGGGGATGACTTCTCATTCCACCCTCTGCATTTCATTTCCCTGTGGCATTTTCCCACCTCCAGGTCTTGTACTGCTGCTATCTATCATCCTTGTGACTGAAATGAGACCAGTCTGATCTCCCTTTGAAACCTAGCAGTGGTGCTTCTTAGCTGTGCTTTGGTCAGGGGTTCAAGAGGAGAGACTGCATTGCCATTCAGGTGCTGCCTGATGAGAAAAATGAAATGCAGAGTCAAGCTCCACCTGAAGCATCTGCCGTCCGAGGCAGGACTTCGGGAGATTTGTACCTGTTCCTAATCTTTCAAAAATAATGGATATCTTTCGATTGTTTTCAGTAATGTGGATCAGAACCTTTTTGATATCTGCTGTGCATACATGTATTATTATTGGCTGTTGTTACAAAAATAATAAAGGTTTATATTATGGTAGCTCCTAAAGGTCACAATAGAGTGCTGGGGAAAGAGATGATTGATACCCCGATTTACAGTCTAAAGACACAAATGGACTATAACTAATGGATGGAGGTAAAGCATGCAATTCAGGCATTTCAGCATTGCTTTTTAGTGCAAAAAAACAGAACAAGCTTTTGGTAATTTGTGTTTCTGTACAGAGTCACAACTTCCACCCCGTGCAAATATTTTTAACTAGATATCAACAGACTTGAGAGCCTTAATTGAGTTGTTAGTCACGTGATTCCATCAAAAACATCTCCTAACCTTTCTTTTTCAAAATCTAGCTCAGACCATTGAGGTGACATGAATTTGGAATGTTTGTCTTTATGGCCTGTAGCTATTAATTCATACATAATATTTTGTATTAATTACTATACATATGCACACACACACCACTTAATAAATACTGTATGTGCAGATCATTAGTTTATGGTGACCTCTGTTGAAGTAGCAATGCATTGGGGAGGATTGGGGTACAGAGGGCACAGTTGAACATGGGAGCCCAGGACTGGAGGAGCAAATAAATAATTTAGGAGTGGGCTGGCTTGAATTCTTGTGGATGGTGTTGACGCAACCCAGTTTCACATCTATTTGCAAACCTTGGGGGGGTTTTTTACCTTTTGCAGGCAGGCAAAGGTGGCAAATCCAAGCGTGGCAAAGGCAAAAGCAAAGGCTCCAAGAAGAAACCAAAGAAGTTGGTGACTAACGTGGATATCCTCAGCCCAGCTGCCATGCTGAATGCCTACTACATCGCCCACAATGCTCCGGCCTGCTTGGAGTTTCGGGGCTTCCCCTGGCCTGGCTCACCCAAAAGGAAAGGGAAGAAAGGAAAGTAGGAACCTGATGGCTGGAAGGAGAAAGACCATGATGTACCAAGCTCCACCTGTCTGTTGTTGAAGATAGAAACCAAGTTGATAACTCAGGTCTCTTAAGTTTTGCCATAATCTCTGTGAAGGCCACTTGTTAAGTCATTCTTGGTATGGTTTTGAGCATACAGAAGTAAATGTTAAAACACAGTTTAATGTTACCCTTGTCCTTTACCCTTCTAGGAAATAATAATAATAATAAAAAAAAAAGTACCTGTATCAGCAGTTCTGTGATATGCAGAGAGATGACTTTGGACTTTGTTCCTGCTACAGTTATGAATTGGGCGTCTCTAATAAAAGATGCCATGTATTCATGCTTTCATGGCTGCAAGCACTTGAAATGAAGGTGGCCAAAGTGCGGCCTCATAACATACAGGCCATGGAGACTTCAGATGTCAACATGCAGTCATCTGTCTCGGTTCTAACATCCTGGCTGAAGGCTGCAGATTTCATGGTCAAGAGTGGGTGTTTTGTACTAATTAAATGCAGCCTACAGGTATCTGGCAGATTACCCACCCGACCTCTAGTTAGCAATGTTCAGTTGCTCTGAGTGCACATTTGTACAATCACGGAGCTAGTTCAAGCGAACTTTACTGCCTTTGTTCCCCTCCCCACTCCTCTCCTCATCTCTCCCCTTCCCTCATTACAAGGTCCAAGAGATGGATAATCTATCCCAAATGATGCTGTGCTAACTAGGAAAGTGTGGGGTGCAGCAGGAGGGGCTCGGAAGTAGGGATCCTGTCTAGAACTAGTGTGCGTTGTGGATGGAGTTGGCAGAAAGTGGGTAGACATTAAAATTGGTGTTGAGGAATAGAGGATCTGCAGAGAGCCAGTGCTGGAATTCAATGGGGAGATATTTTGATTCCTTAGGACACTCAAGTACCTGCCAGCATGAAGCAGTTTGTATGCACACTGCAGCACTGTCACTTGAGCAGAAAAAGCCACCCCCTTCTTTCAGCCAGTCCCTAGTAAAGGTAAGATGTCTTTATGTGCAGATTTGGCAGCATTTTCTGAGCAGGCCCTGGATTAGACTGAAAGCTTACTCTGTGCGTCTTTGCAGGGAGCAATTTGGTGTGTTTCTGATTTCTTTCTAATGTTACACTACAGATTATGGAAGAGGCATTTTGAAGCAGTAAGAATTTGGAGCAGTAAGATCCATACACTAGTATTACATGCGTGTTAGTCCTTGCTTTGTCCTTGCAAGATGAGTTTTTCCCTCCTTCCACAAGTCCCATCTGGAAGGCTCATGGTGTTGTAGATTTGCTAACAAGACCAACTGTTTCAGTGCTTTATGTTCATGTAACCTGACCACTCTGGTGGGGTTGCACAGCTCTAACTGGATTTGATTCATGTGGGCAGTTAGCAAATTCAGGGAAAGGAGCAGCTTCTCTGCTAACCGGCACAGCGTGAGCATGTTCCTGTCGATTCGGAGGTGTATGTTTTTGTATGTTGCATCCACATCCGAGCGAGTATGGCGCATAGGGGAAGTCTTCTCCAAACGGAGAATACAAAATGTTACCTTATAAACTTCTTCAAGCCAGTTTTAATGCCTTGTTTGCCAGAAAGAGGTATACAAAAGGAGCAAGAGACTACAGGAAAACTGGTACAATCTGATATCCAGACGGAGCTGTTGGTTTAATGATAATACTAGAGCAGCTGCTAAGGTCTTTCCCAGACTCTCGAAGAGACTGTGCATCCAGGCACTACGATGCACCTACGTTTTGCTTGCTGTTCTCCTAGACACAGTTAAACGTCTTGTTTATTCTCCAAGGCTATCCCCACTTTTATTTTTCAAGTGACGCTGCAAAGTCAGATTGAATACATAACTTATTCCATGATTATATCCTCTTCCTGTTTTGTGGACTGCCCGCAATTAGTTGACATTTAACAAATGAAAAAAAGACAACTTTAATTTGTCAGTTATTCACAGTGGGGTCAATCATTTCTGTTCCATAGACTGTGAGTACGTATCCATTAGAAAGGTGTGCCATATGCCGTCTTCTACCTGATTCGCCTCCAGTTCAAATACAGCAGAAGCCCATGCAGCTTTTGAAGCAGAAAGATCTGAGCCCTGTCCCTGATGTTAAGAAATTTGGGATGGCCACCATCCCCACTCCCTTTTTGTGCCACTTGATCTTGCTAACAGTTCAAAGCAGATGCTGCTTCAAGAGAGAAATTCTTTTTTTCAAAAAAGAAGAAAGATTGTCAGCAAGTAACCCACGTTTAGTGCTGAATGCAACCCAGATCATAAGGAGTCCTGAATGCAACCCGGGCATGAGGGAGAACAGAAAAATCTGTCATAAACCAAGAGGGTTTTTGCTTCATCTCAGGTCTGGATGGGATGGATGTTACGTCTAGGGAATATCTGCCACACTCACTTGGGCCTGAAGGTCTTGAATCACTAGCAATTTATTCAGGTCTGTTAGGTAGTCTGAAGCTTTTCCAGTAAATCTCAGATTGGAAGAAAATACTTGACTCTAACATCAAGTGTCTAAACCCCCCAGTCTCTTAAAAAAAGACTTCAGACTTTTCTCTGATGTCCCCAATTCTCCAGACATCCATGTACAAGGTGCTATTTGAGCTGCTTTTTCACTGATCTGTCATCCCACAAGTGTTGAATTAGAGAGAAATAGTCCCTGAAGGACAGAATTGACCTTTTGTGGCTATTGCAAGTAAAAGGGAAGTATTAGGTGAGTACTATGCATTTCTAAACCAGTGAAAAAAAACAACATTTAAGCATTTACGTGGATGAAAAAGTCCTACAATATTACACTGTTATAAATTAAAACAAAGTTTAGAAGTGATATCCACCATCCTCCTCCTCTGCAAAAGTTAGCTTCTTGCCAGTCAATTTAGGAAAAATTACTTCCCTGCAGGTAGCTTACTCCACACCTACTTTCTGCAAGATTTTTTTGAACTTCCTCTTCAGCAGTTTTTACTGATCCCTGACAGAAGTTGGGTGCCAGACTAGACAGACTGCTGGTTCAGTCTGCGGGCACGGGCAGATGTAAGATTTGTAGTGCTCTGGGTGTCTTTAAAGTACTCCGAAAATGCCACCTGCAGAAAAAGCAGTTTAAGTTGGCCCTATCCACCTCAAAAATGACTGGATGAAATGGGAACCATTGTGAAATGCTTCACTGTGAAGCATCTGGTGTCATGTTTGCACCCTGTTACAGCTACGTTCCCAGTCTTAGCACATCTGTAACAGACTAAGTGGATCTAGCTTTTTGGAAAAATATGCAAACCCCGCCCCCCCCCCCAAACCAAACAAAACTAGTGGGGGGAGCTAAGGAAAGGGAATCCCTAAGAACCAGACCTCATTTTCTCTCAAAATCACAGAAAATGAGGGTTGGAAGGTGTCTCAGGAGGTCACATCTGGTCCAACCTCCTGCTCCAAGCAGGACCAGCCCCAACTACATCGTCCCAGCCAAGGCTTTGTGTAGCCAGGTCTTTAAAAACCTCCAAGGACGGAGACTCCACCCCTCTGTGGGTAACCTGCTCCACTGTTTTACAATCCTCCTAGTGAAAGAGTTTTTCCTAATATCCAACCTAAACCTTCCTTGCTGTACCTTGAGCCCATTGCTGCTTGTCCTGCCATCTGCCCCCACGGAAAACAGTCCAGCTCCATCCTCTTTCGAACCCCCCTGCTATTAATTCCCCCCTCAGTCTTCTCATCTTGAGACTAAATAAGCCCAGTTCCCCCAGCCTCTCCTTACAAGTCGTGTGCTCCAGCCCCTTAACCATTTTCATTGCCCTCCGCTCTAACGATTTCCATTATTGTAAATCTCCATATACTGCAGTCTTTGACACGTGAGAACTAGGAGAGTGTAAATGTAAAGCCTGGGACCACTAGTGTGTGGTTGCCATTCATTCATACTGCTAAAGCTTTATATAAAGCTTCCCAACCAACATCTAGTAGAAGACAAAGGACTCTTACCTGCTTTCCCGGACAAGGAAAACCACGCGTTTTCATGTTCACCTCCGCACCTGACTCGTGTTGAATTAATTTCTGCAGTGTCAGAGGCTCTGTCCTGCTGACATCTCATAGAGATCCCCCTTTAGCTCCGAGGGTGGCTGTCACATTTCTGGCAGCGTAGGTCAGTGTCAGGTGACTATTTCAGGTGATCTTACTCATTCTGTTTATCGCTATATGTAGGAGTTAGGACTTGGCAGAGATCCTGCTGCCTGTGATATGTTTTTTTAGAGGTTGAACCCATGACCAATAAAATCTGTTCTGCATGACTCTGCCTGATTTATTTAGGCATAGCTGCTGTCTGCATTTTTATACCCATGCCAGTGAATGAAATTCATGTATGGGGTGCCCTATTAGAGGTGCATGGTACAAGTTGAATTTTCTTTGTTGCTGGCAGGTGCTGAGCGGTACAGCCACAACCCACATGTTGTCCTAGGCAGCCGTGTATTTGTTTCAGTATTAGCATTTCCTTCAGCCTGGTGCTTAGCAGTCATGCTCGGTGTGCTGCTGTTGGAGCGTGTGAGATCAGCATTTCCTGTAGGAAGTGCTGTCAAAACCAGGTGGTTAAAAATACACAGGATGTTTATGAGCATGTGTGCTGGAAAGCCTGACCCTGTTTATTGCAAGTGTGAAAAAGGCAAAGGACTTGTGAAAAAGGGCACAAATTGTTTTTGAACGCAGGGCTATCCAACCTTTTAGTGGCCAAGAGCCCCTAGGCTGCAGGCTGTGCTGTCCTAATGTACTGGCAGGGGCAGGGGTGGGAAGCAGAAGCAGGAGGAGGGAGCAGGAGCCCAGAGACTGGAGATCCTGGCTGCAGCAGAAGCCAGAGCAGAAGGGGGAATGGTGCCTGGGTTGGAGCCCATGGGCTGCATGTAGTGGGACAGCCTGGGTTTACCACCCTTGCCAGTAGACTGTTTCAAGCCCCCAACCTGCATCCCTTACTCTTATTTACTCAAGTTTCCTGAACTGCAGGGTCTTTTCTACTACATATTTTGCCTAATTCCCCCCCCCCTTGCTTAGTTTTAGGCCTAAACTATGTGATATTATCTTTAAACCTAACCTGCAAATTATCTTAATTGTGACTGTGCTGTTTTTATACTTTATAATGGATGAAGAAGGTTTGCAAGACAGCATAAGTTTTAAGTATCCCCACCCTTGCTTTTAAAAAAATGATTTTAGAAGCATCAAGGTTCCCTACCTTTAGTGGAGGACCTATAGGATTTATGATGCGAGTGCCAGCTCCATAATAGAGAGACAAATATGCTGAGTCTTCTTTTATCCAAATGGTTAATTAGAATTAAATAGATATTACCAAGAATAAGGTAAAAGAAAGTTTCCAAGAATTTGAATAAAAATCCTTCTAGTCTCAAATGTTCGACATTCCCTTCGTTTGCGTGGGGTTGCGATCTCAGCTGTTATTCAGTTACGGTAGAGTCAGTAAACCTAAGTGGAACTGACTTTCTTCTTTCTAATTCTAGTCTCTTTCAGGTCTTCCTCCAATTTTTCTCCCTATTCAGGTTTTTTTTTTTTTTTAATTTAAAAAAAATTGAAAGGAAAGACAAGGAGATCACTTACTTCACTGGTCCTGGCATTCTTTGCAATGTTCTCTCCATATATATGTCCCTCTAGGATGTTCATGCACTCCCAGGACAGGCAACTGGAACTATTTTTTCTGCTCTGCAGCATCCTTTGCCTGGTTTCTCTTGTGCCCTTCACCCTAAGAGCTTAAAAGG